AGCATCAATTAAGTGAATCGTAATACTCAGAAAATGTTGTTAAGCATATGCTTTGCAAATATCTAAAGTAAGTGCTAATTTGTTTTGACTAGTTTTTAAGAAATTTTTGATTTTGATCTTAACTAAATCTAAAAAGTTGCCTATTTCCACGAAGAAGTTTCGATGAGAGGGAATGTTGTAATGAGGATCGAGATTGGAGATTAGATTTACAAATGATTTTCTTTTAACTACTAAAAATGGTTGTTGATTAAGAATTATCTATTGCAAAAAATAGGAATTCAAAGATTCAATGCGACGTTGTTCAATAAATAAAGCAAAAGTAGGTTCATAGAAATATTCAGGAGTTGGGGCTAATTTTTGTTTCTTTTTTAGAGGTTCTTCGAGATGATCAAGTTTAACTAAATTTTCTGGATTTTGAAAAAAGGATTTAGTTTTTTTATAAGAAAACTTTAAAAAGGAATTAACAATTTTTTGCTTAAAATAATCAGGTATGATAAAATTTTGATGAAAATTTTATCATCTTCATTAGAAGAAAAATAATCTGAAGAATCTAAAGAAGAAGAATTAACAAGATAAGATGCTTTCAACATAATAATTGGAGATCTGAATTCAAAGATTATAAGAATTAGCGAAGTAGTAAATATGAATGAAAGATAAGTCAAGTCGCTTTTTATATCTTCATGGTTATCAGAATCGATTAATAATTAAATTTTATCATTATTACATAATTTTGAAAAAGTAATTATTATTAATTGTCACGGATGATAGTGAAATCGGATGATCATGAAATCTGGGGTCTTAATTTAAAAATATAAACTCTACTAAAATCTACTTATACTATTTTATTATAAACTCTAACCGAGGGTTTGATTTTACGATTATCCAATTTCACGATCATCCGTGATATTAATTATATTCTTATTATTAAGCAATTATTTCTCAACTCAATACACCTAAAACTAGCTATGATAAATATGCGAACAAGAAGTTGTCTATTTTAAAGACAGAATGGGTAATTCGTTTATTATTAAATTTTATAATACCCGTATTATATTCATGTTCTTTATTTAATTTATATTATTTTGATGATAATACTTTTCTTTTTTGCATTAGTATCTAGGAGTTTGCATCTTCGAATATGGCAACATGCTATTTCAGTAATTCTTGTTAATATAAATGTGGAAATATTAAAAATATTACAATACAAATTATCTAGGTTCTATACTTTCAAATATGGCAATATTAGTTTTTATTGATGCA